TATATGAAAGACCTTCTTTTTACCCTATACCATGCTTTAGGTGGATTATTTTTAGTAGCATTTTTCCCTAGAAAAGCAGCTTATCCTGTAACACTAAGGTCTATTCACTCAGTATCGGTGGACTAAATTCACTGGAACCTGAAGTTGCCTAAAACAAACAAATGTATTCTGTGCATAGTAACTAGATAGGGTTTCGTTTCTCAGAAAGAGTTCATAGTGTTTTTAAATGGTTACTGCTGCCCTCTAGCAGCTATTATGAGATTTGTCACATCAGCTTTATGACTAAACACTTGTTTCATACTTTGCAAAAAAGTATAGCAGAGCTGGTGTTCTTTCAAACCATGAATGCATCCCCTACTGCTGGATAACATAAGCATATGAATTGTAACTGTGTTTAGAATACAAAGATGCCAATATCCTAACAATTGTGTACAGAAATAACAAAAAATGAACAAAATATCTATAGGGCAAAGCAGGAAAAAAAATTGAAAAACAAACAAACTGTATTTGAAAAGCTGTGTGTGTGAGAGAATGGGAATAAGCCACACAGGTTAAGAAGCAAAGGCCTCTGGTAAACTACGAAAACACTTTTCAGTAAAGACGTGTTTGGAAAGTATGTAAGCCCAGAAATAAGCCACTGCTTTTAAAGGGAAAATGTGAGTTGACACCTGATAAAAACAAGGAGGCAGACAAGGATTATTTCGTAAAATGCAGCCTGTAGAAGGTCAGAGCAATCAGGATGGAATAATTAACAAATATCTTTCTTTTTCTGAGGCAAGAAAGCATCAAGTAGCATTAAAAAGAACGTGGAAGCCAAGGCACATGTCCATTATTGAGGTGGGTATGGAAAACCACACTGGGAATCAAGCAACTAGATGGTAGGAGAGCACCCAGGTGTTAATAATGGGGGATTCGACCATAGAAACAGACAGCTGAGTCTGCAATGACAGGAAGAGCCACATGGTGAATAATCTGCCTGCCATGAAGGCTGCACTTCTCTTGAGTGGTGGGGAGAAACTGGTGGTCATGGTACATGTAGGTACCAATGACATAGGGAAGGATAGGAGAGAGGTCCTGGATGTCAAATTTAGGCTGGAAGGAAAGAGACTGAAATCCAGGACCTGAATGGTAGCATCCTCTGAAATGCTTCCAGTTCCACACGCATGGCCATGTAGAGAAGCAGAATTGAAGGGTCTCAATGCATGGATAAGACAATGGTGTAGGGAGGAGGGGATAATATTTATTAGGACTGGGGGAAACTTTTGAAAAAGGGGAAGGGGGAGGCCTTTGAAGGAAGAAGGAGTTCCACCTCAACCAACATGGAACCAGATGGCTGGCATTTGAAATTAAAGTCATAGAGCAGTTTTTAAACTAAAGGCTGGGGAAAAGATGACAAGTGCCATGGAGTACATGGATTAGACTAAGGATGCTAGGAGGTGGGTAACTGACTAATTATGTAGTTGATGCAATTTGTATCGACTACACAATTAGCTGATAAGGGAAGGTGCTCTGTCCCAGCTCAAACTGGTCCAGGAGCTACCCTTGCAGTAGCTCTGCAGTTTAAATGTAAATTTAAAAATCAAGTACGTCAGCAACAAGAAGCCAACCACACAACTAGTGGGGCCACAAGATGATTGAAGCTACATCTAGACTGCAGAGTTTTTGCACAAAACCAGCCGTTTTTGCACAAAAACTCACAGCGTCCACACCTCAAGCACATTTTT